CTAATACCTTCTGATGCGATCAGCAAGAAAAAATAGTTTATTCGTGTCCTCTTACTTCTCTTTCCTATGTAGGACGAGAAGCCGCCGAGGGCCTCTCCTATGACAAGCTAACGGCAAAGATCGAGGCCCTTGAGGATGGCGGTCAGGACGATGATGAAGCCAAATTCCTCGAGGAGTACCGTCAGAAGAGGCTGGCAGAGATGCGTCAGGCAGCCGCCAGGGCGAGGTTCGGCAACGTCTGCGAGGTGACCAAGGTCGACTGGATGAAGGAGATTAACCAGGCCGGAAAGGGTGTCTACGTGGTGGTGCATATTGCGCGCAAAGGGTAAGTTACCACCTTACAATCGACTGCCTAACATCTAAGAATTTTTACGAGAAAATCCCTGGTACTCGTTGATGAACGGAACTCACCTGCCCAGCTCTGCGTTGGGCCTCGACAGAGGCCCTGACAGCCGTAACAGCTAATAGCAAATAGTATTGCCGGCAAAGACAAGGAAACTGGAGTGGCCCTTTCTGGGTTATTGACCGTTATCTGCCCAAGGCAGAGCGGGACAGATGAGTTCAGTTAGTGGTAAGGTGAACGTTCATTAACAAGTGTCAATATCCCCTGACCTAAACCGGAGAGGAAACGAGCTCGTGGCTCAATGGTTAGGTCATTTGACTCTGATCAAAAAGTTGCGAGTTCTAGGCTCGGGTGGGGCTGGGTATGACTGGCTAACGACGGCTTATAAGCCAGAAGTGGCCATTCCAGTCTCTCTTTTCTTTGCCCGCAATATTATCTGTCTAAAATCCCTGGTGCACAAAGGAAGTCCAGGCTGCGTCCCCCAAAGTCTTACAACAGTAAAGTAAACACCTTAATAAAAAAGAAGACACATTCCGCCTTATCAAGTAATATTATGTTGTCAAGAAATAGTAGGTTTTTAAAAGAAAAATGGCATGTTCCGAAAAAAAGGAAAGTCGGGGTTACTACGTAAACTTGTCTTTTAAATGTGGAGGAAGCCAGTCCATGCAAAAAGACGAGCGATTACTTTAAAAAGTAGTCCTTTTGTGAAAGTTTCGGATGCATATGCTTCCATATCAATGTATTCCAACATGGTTCCGTGAGAATTGTCAATTGGTGCTTCGCTTCGTAAATTGTTTGGGATGCTGTGGACTAAAGTAACCAGATTTTCGCTTGATTTTGCCGATTGGGGGGTCACAGAGCTAACATATTTCGTTAGCTCATGTGTGGACATGCCGGTCAATGATTATTGAATTTAAGTGGAATTGGCAGGTGCAATCGTTAGCTTAATATTTTGTGTACACTAAGAGAAATTTCCTTCTGGCAAACCTCTTTATAATTATTTTTGGTGTTCAATGACGATGAGGTTCAGATCTTTCTTGAAATAGCGGTGAACACTTTAGGGCTTTCAATATTTTCAGTCGATTGTCTATAAATAAGGATTCTGTTCTAAGTACTCACCAAAACCTTAATAATAAGATATTTCTTAAAAGCATTTACGTAAGAAGTGAGTTGTTTGGACATTCTTTCTTATGCAACTCTCTGTTTGGGTCACGGTTTTAGAATCACCTAAGCGTGTTAAATAATTGCCGAGAAAATTGAACGTCCACAGCAAAAGTCACAAATGAATATGCATAAGGTTAATTAAATAAACTTTCTATAACACGTTACCTCTTGAGAATGCTTTAATTAAATATTTTGACTTCGAATAGGAGCATTGAAAAGAGGCTTGCTCTAAAGCCGGCATGTTGACCTGACTGGAATATATCAGGATTATGCGGTGTGCTAGTTAACATTACAACTCTACTTAGGTAATCCTTTCTTATCGAAAACAAATTTCACTGGCTGGTATGGCTTTTGTTCAGGTGTCCGTAATAGATAAGAGAGAGTTTGCGGGGTTTACACAAAACTGTACAGTAATTACGGTGATGGTTCGAGTCTGTTTCTGAATTGCGGTCTCTGTACGCGCAAGTTATCGTGCAGTGCTTTCGGCCCCACGTCGCACAAGATGTCACGTGGTCGCGTGCCTCTGACCCAGCCAATCACATGCACCACAAACTGCTATCAGCCAATCCAGCGGCCAGTGACTCACTCATTCTCGCGCGTGACCTTTATGTATTCACGCCCACGCTAGCGAACAGACATGCGAGCACCTCCGCTTGTGTCAGAGGTGATCACACGGTACGTTGATATGCCGACAAAAGACATGACGAAAGCCGTGATGCATGAGGTGGAAAGGCTTCGTAGCGATTAATTCAAGGTGAAGGGACTAGACGGTATTATTCAGAATTCGATCAGCAAATTGGTTGACCGTTGCGAAGTGTCGCTAAATTATTATATCAACTAAACAGGCATAAAAGAACACCGACAGCAGAAGAAAGCATTCGGAGGATACTTTTAAAAATGTTCAAGGC